TCCACAGAATATTTTCCTACAGTGGGTTATTTCATGATTTAATCTGTAGCTCTTTATCGTCTGTAGCGCCTCTGGCGACTATGAAATCAGTCGTTCTCGGTTAAGTTTTTAAGTGAGAGTGCCCAACGCATTATTGAGCCTCCCAAATGGTCGACTGAAGATAAGTTCACGCATTAAACATTCCATCGACGCCTGATGGGAATTAACCGGGACGTCTTAGGAATCCCGCGGGATATTATATTCTTCACCGGCTGAGCACCGCCTTGGTTACAAATTACGGTTGTTTGTGCTGGAATACGAAAACTTGATGTCGTCTCCGATGAAGGTTTTCTGGCTGCTCACTCGGAAATTTCCTGTCGCTTTAATCATGCCCGCCGCTTGATGGAAAACACTACATAATTTGAATGCAAATTTCCCAAACAGTTTGCGACAGGCGCCGTTTTTTTCGAGCATCGACAGGAACTCGACGAACATTAATTTGCTTAGTGTAGCATTTTTCTGCCAGTAATTTGATCGACTGCCTTTAAACTGCTAGGCCCAATCTAATAAAATCGTTCGTCGTCTCAGCGTTCACTTATTCCCTTAGGGCTCGAACACTTTTCAGCTCAGAGACGCAGTTTTCACTTTCAACTAGTCGCTTCAAGTGCTGTGTGCAATGAAGTAGCTTATTTCAATCGTCTCGGAAGATAAACGACTAAAAACCATACACAGAGCGGGGAATGAGTTTGCAAATCATCCGAATTTTAACCCCTAAAAACTATATTTTCCCATTCTTTAAGGATCCTTCAGAACCTCTTCAGAGGATCACTTTTGAACCACCACGTACATATATGTACGTATATGCTAACCTGCATTTGCTGTAAGAATAAAGATCAGAACATAGTCGCAACTGAACAAAATGTCCTTTTTGTCTGCCAAAGTCGGTAAATAATCGCCATTTTCTGTTCATTTTTAGTCGTTTTTGCCCGGTCACGACTTTTAACCGACGAAATCTTCCTTAATGCACATCCAAAAACGTTATATATGAACATTGCAAAGCTTCTCAGGTCGGAAACAATCCAATGAGCGCAAAAAACACGAATGTAAAATTTTGATTTTTGAGCAAAATTTTCATAAGGGGGGAGGGTCGA